GTGTTATAGACAGGGTTCCTACAACTTAATGCAAGTTAAATGTAAAACTTTAACCACATTAAAGCCACCTGAAACAAAAAAGGCAACAATTTTACTCAAATGTTTAACACAAAACTAGCTGCGAGGCATTCAGTAAATTATTTTTTTAAAATACTGATTTTAAATTTTGAGATGAATTACATAATTTTTACAATATGTTAACATTTTTAAGACTCCTGAAAGATCMATTTAAAACATTTCAAGGATAATTAAGGCCTCATTTTTGGACTGAATTAAATGCCTTTTAAGACTTTTAAAGCATCCAAGGGCGACTTGTATATGAAATCGTTTTATGGATGTGATTTTTAAAAGACGGCTTATTTTGTAAAGTCTGACAATAGGTTTGCATTTTTTTTCTCAGTTTTATTAATACCAGAACTCTGCAACAACTTCTAGCTCTGCATACTCGAGACATTGATATTTCATTCAGTTACATACAATTGTTGTGATTTAGGCCTTCTGATATTCTGCATCTTAAACCTTTTCTTTTACTGGTATAACACTACAAAAATACTTTAACTCACGAAAGAATAGTAATAGAGGAATATTTCAAGCCCACTAATAAATCTTATCTTGGTATGCATGTGTGCCAACTTTATAGAGCAGTCATGCTGCGCCCTCTGGTGTTGACTTCAAGACCTGCAGCATACGAAGAGAAACGTCAGCTCTCAAAAGTATCTTTTTGGAATGTTTTGGGGTTTTTTATTTATTTTTTTGACAAATATATATGAAGATTTTCCTAAAAAGGAAACATTATTCTCAGAGATACGTTTTACAGCAAATTCTTTCTGGCAAGTAGACAGGAAACGTGAAATCATCAGAAAACATGACAGAACTAATCATTTCCATTTGTGCCCAGGAAAGAGTAAGGGTGCAATTTAATAGTAATGAGCCATCTAGTCATTTCAGAAAATGGAGACAAACGAATAACAATCCAAAATCGATAGGACATTTTAAACATTATTGAACATTTGGAGATTAGGGTCTCATCAAGGCACACAAAAGCATAGACAACCGTCTTTTTCTCCATGACATTGGTCCCACTGGGCAGTACAACTGTACAAAACTACAGACAGAGAAATAGAAAAGAAAAAAAAACTTAAAAAAACAAAGCAACGCAGTACAGGGCTTTGTGGGATGACAAAGGAAAAACCATTAATGTACAGTGTTCAGAATCCATTAATCCAGTAAGGTAAAGCTGACATCCACTAACTGGCAAACCCACTTCTCTACTGTGCAGAAAGTTCTGCAGCTCCTACAGAGGATGAAGCTCAGCGAAGGACCTCTTCTCCTGCTGAATGAACTCCAGCAAGCTTCGTTTTCCCTGCCTGAAGTTGCTCTCTCGCCTTGAAAATGGCAAGATGACCTGAAGTCGGAGGAGAGTTTCAATGTTACTGAAACTTCTGATCTGTGACGTTTTGAGCGTATCAAGCACAGTGCTTGGAAGATAACCTGCCATTGGATCCAACCACTTCTCCTTCCATTCCTTCATCTCAGAGTGAAGGGAGGACTGGTCTGGCAAGTCCTCTTTATACAAACGAAACACAAGACCGCTAAGAATGCTGGTTTCCACTTTGGACATTGCGTAAGGCACAATCTCCAGACATTTCAAGGTATCCAACACCTTTTCTGTGAATAGGTCATCAATTTCTGCTATTGAGTGCTCCACAACCCTGGTGCTAACAGACTCTTTGTAAAACTCACTCAACGGCTCTAGAAGCACTGGATGCATCATTGGGATGTGAAGTTTCGATGCTAGGGCAACAGTTTCCTCGAACCAGGACTTGTGATTGCTGTCAATGTTGCTCTGGAGGGCAGCGAGCGACGCTTTGACGTCAGGCAAGGTGTTCACAGAGAGCAACACGTCTAAGGGTTTGCCCTGAAGTGACTGACTAAGCTTTTTAGTTACACTCAAGACATGCATCAGTACCACCGTTGAAAAGATAAACTCAAAGTTTCKGATTGAGTCAAAAAAGTAGGATGCTTGCTGCTGGTCTAAAGGACTTCCCTCTTCTTTCAGCTCGTACAAGCAGAGCATGACGGCTTCTATGATTGCTATCATAAATCTATGCATGTCATGACTCTTCTCCCAGTTCTTCACAAGTTGGTCACTCAGTTCACTGCCCTGTCCTTCTTCTTGCTGGAAAACTTCAACAATCTTGTTTTCCAGTTTGTTCTGGCGTTCTGCGTCCTCTGTGAGCCAGCCTAACACTTTCCCTATAAGGACTGCTCCATCAGCTGCCTCGGTGGCAGGAGATGATTTAGCCAACCATACGTTGAGTGATGAAGCAGAACTCACGGTTCTAATAGCATGTGGGTATTTCTGAGCTATGGATAGACTCACAGCTCTCATCTGAGCTCCTACTTTACCAACACTCAGTAATGCCTGTCCTCTGCAGTACTCCATGTTGAGCCCCCACTTCTCAGACAGAGCTGTCTCAATTGACTCGGTGAGGCCAACAGGGTCTTCAGTAAAAGGGATGAAGGCCAGTGTTTCCTCACACTGAATGTCCTCTTTGTTTAAGTACCGGATGCACAATGGGACATATAGCTCACCATTAATTTCAACAGTTTGATCAAATATAATAGTGAAAAACTGAGAGTCCCACAGTTCCTTCAGTATTTGTTCACGCAGTTGTGGCTCGTAGAAGGAGACTATGGTTCTCGGTCCTGGAACAACTTCTTGTGTAGTTTCCTTTTCAGCTGGGTTCACCTCTCCATCCGCAGGTTTGACTGCTTCTCTGGTACTGTGGGCTTCTGCTGGTTCTACTTTATCTCCTGATTTGAAAAATACAGAAAATGTTATACTACTCATTAGAATTCATACAAAACATCTTGTTTTCATCCATATTAAGAACACTATGCTATAATCTCAAGTTGTCATAAATAAACTTACCCTTGCTCAACTTCAGTCTTTGCAGAGCTCCTATTACCTGAAACCAAAGTACAGCCTTCTCAGTTATGTAGAAAGAATCTAAAACTCCAATTAGGTAGTTCTGGTTTGCAATAGAGCATAATGACAAAGAGTTGTGGCAATTTATTTTCTTATTTTGCATGGGCTGTACCACTGTATGGTCAGGACACCTCCAGAATAATCTAGTTTTGTCTGACAGAATCATGTGCACTTCACACAATACAGGGTTCCTACAGTTTAAGGAAAGTTAAATGTCAGACTTTTTAAGACTTTTTAATGCCAAATGAAATTAAATTTAAGACCTATTTCATAATAATCCCAAATGACAAATAAATAAATAAAAACTGTGGCAGAAACTGATGAATCAAAGTATTATTGGTTAAAGTATTCAAATATTGCTAACAGACCAATTGTTTTTATCCATATACAGTGGGGAAAATAAGTATTTAGTCAGTCACCAATTGTGCAAGTTCCCCCACTTAAAAAGATGAGAGAGGCCTGTAATTGACATCATAGGTAGACCTCAACTATGAGACAAAATGTGAAAAAAAATTTGAGAAAATCATTTTGTCTGACTTTTAAAGAATTTTTTTGCAAATAATGGTGGAAAATAAGTATTTGGTCACCTACAAACAGGCCAGATTTCTGGCTGTCACAGACCTGTAACTTCTTTTTTAAGAGGCTCCTCTTTCCCCCACTCATTACCTGTATTAATGGCACCTGTTTGAAGTCGTTAACAGTATAAAAGACACCTGCCCCTCGAGGTCCGCAGCCCTGCATGTTTTACTTTTTTCCTTCTCTAACACACCTGATTCAGTCAGTGAATTAC